TTCTGGCATGCCTGGCTGTTTCAGCATTTAACCAGATTTCAGAGAGAGAGAGAGTGGCAGAGGGAGACAGTTGGGTCTTGGCAGCTCTTGTGGTAGGCCATTTCTGGAAACAGCACACTCATAATAGTCCATTAGTGTACAGTGAGCTGTTTGGGGAATGCAAAGATGATATATTGTTGGGGAGAACAATGGGGCATCATGAGGTCTGAATGGCCCTTTAGCCATGGCCAAAAAGAAAAGGGTGGACTTCATTTCCAGGTGTTGGCTGTCTATCATTCTGAAACATCCCAATAAAGAGCTTTGTTTTTTAAAACAATACATTATTAATAGGTCGATCAGAATAAATACACCTATCAGGCTATGTGGAAGAACGTAACATGCTCTACTCTCTGACCTGAACAGCTGTCATCGGAAGGATAACAGCTGTTAAACATGTTTCACTTTAATTGTAAGTCTCTGAGGTCCAGCTCTCACCAGAAACACTGATCGCTTATTAAATTACCATGTGTTTGTATTTCACAGGCTGAGTCAAGTTGAATTGCAAATCCTTGATTCAGAGGCAGAATCTGTCCAATACTTCCAGCACTTCCACCAATATGCAGATATATAGCCATAATTAGTAATCATTAATAAATGAGCTATTCATATCTACACATGTTCATTTTAAATAGTACTGTAGATTTGATCTGAACCAATCAGAACCGTCCACACTGAGCAGAAATGTCATACATATTCCTCTCGTTTCCAAACTTCTAAAAGGCTTTATAATTCTTTAGAAATTTGCTCTGCTTCAACCTTGCAATGATGGTTATCATTAATATGCTCATTAAAATAATCTCAGTCAATACTGGGGGCAGGGAAGCTCTACAAAAAAGAGGAAGGCATTGTGGGAAATGCATGCACAATGCAGTTAGGCAATGAGGACTCACAACCCAGTGAGTCACCAGGCAATCTGGAGAACTTGCCCTGTGGCTTAGCTGTGATAACGCTGGCACAGAGCGAGGCCAGACCTCAGCCGATCTGGTGGGGAGAACAGCCTTTGCTGTCTTTACACTGTTTCATCTCTCCTCCTGAGAGACTTCTTTCCCCAGAGGAGGCATCTGAGGCACAACACAGCAGAGAGTAGGGGAAAAGTTTTGGAAATGGAAAGAAAAAAACGCCCCTGTGGCTATGGAGAGCCAAAAGCACAATCACTTTAAAGGCAGTGTGAGAAATCAAACAGCCTCAAGGGGTTAAGTGTGATTTAATCCAGTAGGAGAGTGGCGTAGGCCTGTGCACATCCACGCTGGTGATGCACTGTAGGCGTCTTGATAACCTCCACCGCATGATATGTAGCAGCAAAAAGAAGGGATTTGACACTGTTGTGGGGAATGTTTTTCATTGTTCTGCTGTGGTGTTGCTTTGATACACAGTATTTGGACTAAAAATATGCCAAATGTGTATTTTTGTTTGTGATCTGTATGAGTTTTGTGTATACACTTTTTAAAATTTAGATCATGCATGAGCATGGAAAATGTAAATATCCACATGTGAACCATCCAGTAATTACTGATATGAAACACCAACAGTAAGTGGAGTAGGTTAATACAGCCATGCAAGCAGAGTGTTGGAGAGAAGAGCTTGGGGTGGGTTTGCTCTAATGGGTGGAAGATGGTGCTGACTGTAATCAGCGGCTCACAGAGGCTGACAGTGCAGGTGCCTAATAACTATTCAGTAACACATTCACATCCCCGTTTTAGAAGCCGAGGCCTCCTTCCTGACCGAGAACTGGTACTGCAGCAAATCCAGACTCTGACATTTTAATTCCTGACCAGCTAACCTGCCTCCCCCAAAATTACTGTAATTGAATAAATTAGTTTGGACACAGGCCACAAGGTCCTTACTGCACTAGTGTTATACAGTAAACGCTTCTGATGCTGTATCTACCGTGGCTTCAGAAAGAAAGCAGGCCCCTTCACATTCTGCACACTTTAACTGACGTCTGATGTTAGAATGAATATAGTTGTCAGGCCACATGGAAGAAAATAAGACACCCTACAGTCTGAACAGTTGTTGTTGGCACGATAGCAGCTGTTCCAGATGTTTCAGTTTAACTGTAAG